TAGATAGATAGATAGATAGATAGATAGATAGATAGATAGATAGATAGATAGATAGATAGATAGATAGATAGATAGATAGATAGATAGATAGATAGATAGATAGATAGATAGATAGATAGATAGCTAGATAGATAGATAGATAGATAGATAGATAGATAGATAATAGATAGATAGATAGATAGATAGATAGATAGATAGATAGATAGATAGATAGATAGATAGATAGATAGATAGATAGATAGATAGATAGATAGATAGATAGATAGATAGATAGATAGATAGATAGATAGGTAGATAGATAGATAGATAGATAGATAGATGTAGATAGATAGATAGATAGATAGATAGATAGATAGATAGATAGATAGATAGATAGATAGATAGATAGATAGATAGATAGATAGATAGATAGATAGATAGATAGATAGATAGATAGATAGATAGATAGATAGATAGATAGATAGATAGGATAGATAGATAGATAGATAGATAGATAGATAGATAGATAGATAGATAGATAGATAGATAGATAGATAGATAGATAGATAGATAGATAGATAGATAGATAGATAAATATTTAGATATACATTTGTTTCAAGGCTGCTTCCAGAATATTTAGTAGTTCTGACTATTGTTCTAAAACTATTTTATTGAAGCAAATTCTAATAATGTTAGAAAGATAAATATCTAAGGTCCGAATGTCCTACTTGTGGTCAAGGTCCACATGACACCCACCACATATTCAACTGCCCAGCCAACCCTACTTCGCTCCGTCCAATGGATTTATGGATGTATCCAGTTGAGGTAGACCAATTTTTAGGCGGACATTGATGTAGAACAACTAGATTATTGTATAGTTTTAGCTGTTACAACAACAACAGCAACAATTCCATCAATAGGAGAAAAAAACTGAAATGTTTAGGTAATTTCTCAAAATGTATTGTAAAAATTATTTGAATATTTACTCATTTAACATTTAGTACTTTTTTTTAATTTATTCTCTGACATCTTTAAATATGTGAGAATGAAAAAAAATCATCAAGTAGATAGATGTATTATGAGTTGTGTATGGTATTGTAATCTTATCTGTATTGCTTCCAAGAATAACGTACACAAACGTGATACGATAAAGTTTTTTTTTTTCTTTTTCATATAATAATAACTATTGTTGTAGAAAAATTCTCAATTATTGTTATAAGAATAAAAAAATGATAAGTAAAAGATGCTATAGTTTTTATTTATATATATAAAAAACACATGCGAATTGATTTAAAAAAAACTGCCAAGTTTAAGATAATAAAATAATTTATTTCTAACAAATATTTAACATTTTCATTTAGTTGGAAATCTAAATAAAGAGATTATTGTAATTAATTACTTTTTCTTAAAATTTAATTCTATTTTAAATATGCACTTTTTGTTTTAAATTTTATACAAAAATTAGTTTAGCATACTTAAATATTTGTAGAATTTTAAATTTGTTTTATTTTTATTTACATCAACAAGTTTGTAAATCACACCATATATTAGTTGCATAACAAAGAAGAATGGCATTTAAAATAAACCAAAAAAATTGTTGTTTATCGTTTATGCTTTACATCTAATTTGTTTGAATGAAATGTAATGATATAAAACAAATCATTAATTGTTTAAAAAATTTTATTTTTGGAAATTCATTAGTCACTCGATGTGTTTTTATGTGCATTTTTGAATGTTCAGGTTGAACTGCAACACCGGCCATAGTATTTATTCAAAAATTTTGACCTTTATGGTAAGCTTTAAAGCCGGTATTTAGCACGAGTTATAAATGAAAGTTTTATTTTAACAAACAAATTCTGTATACATTTATTGTTCAATATTTTTTTGATTCCACTATTTAATCTTATTTGTTACCTTTTCACAAATTTAAAATCTTCAGTCACTGTTTCTAAACACAATATTTTTTAATACTAAAGCCCTATGTGTGACCCTAGACAGAATATATTTCTAAAGAAAATTTTTAACTTAAATGCCGAGTACGATGACATCATTGCAATTCTTTATTAAAATTGTACATGTCATTTGTAATACAATAGGTTTCCATAAGTAGAATAACAATTTTTGCTTTTTTTTTTTTCAAATATATACATATATATTGAATTTGCAATTGTTTGTTACACAATTACAGGCCTATATTTACTATGAATAAGCACTCGGAATTATGCAATATTTCTACTTAACATTTGATTTATTAAAATATTTATATGAGGGCGTTTAAAATTTGAAAAATATTTTTAAAAAATTGTTTAAAGAATATCGTAAAATAAATTTTAAAAAATCTGCTATTGAAAACGGGCTAAAAGATAACACGGCCCTGCATCGTATAAAATGTATTCGTTTAAAGCGAACATTGGCAATTATTCTAAAACAAGTTTTATGAAACTAGTCCTTTGACTTCAGCTATACATTGGGGTTAAACAAGGACAATAGAAGATACATATATTTGTTTCGAAATTAATTGAACTATTTTAGAATATGTAAGCAATTTTAAGTCAATTTGTAATTCTTATTAATATTTTATATCTTCTTCTAAAACGGAAGCAAACAGAATCACTTTAGATCCTCGTTCCCACGACAATTGGATCTACGCTCCGGAACGACCAGCGTCATACTCGGCCAAAGATTGTCAACCCAGCAACAACTGCATCAACCGAAAGATTTTTCCCCAGGAACTTTTGATCCTTGAAAAACAACCTTGAGAGTAGTGTTATCGGCTCTAGAGGTTTTAGGAGCTAGTTTCTTGCCACTAGTTACACATTGATTCTACATTATTTCTATTAAACTTTTAACAGTTCTAAAAAAACTATTCGGACAAATATTTTGTGAGAATAAAAAGCTTTAAATTTTCGCTCTTAGCAAATGGTTAATTGAAAATTAAATTGAAAATTGTGGCCGAAATGTATAGTATAATTTAGCCAATAATAGTTATTTTACTGTTTCTCTTAATAGATTAAAATCTTCTGATTTCCGAAGAAAAAGTACAACTAGTTTAAGGTAATCTTGCACTCCAAGTTTTTGCATCACTGGTGACACCCAATCATCAATTAATTATACTAGTTCTGGAGTTGTTCTTAAAGTTATCGTAAATGAGGATGAGGCGCGCAAATCTGCACTTCGCTTACTAGAAATAACAAGTTTAAAATCAGGCAACTGAGTATTATAAATATATTTATGACTGATCCATATATATGGATTCCTGACTGTAGTTAAACAATACGGACACTACACAGAGCCTTTGAGGTTCTTATACCGCAAAGGGACCAATGGACAAACATAACTTGGTGGCATTTAAAATAAACCATGGTTTACTGGAGCCATCCCTATGGGTAATTAGCCCTCAATCTTCCAAGTAGAAGTGTATGCAATTATCATTTGCATAAGATAATGTCTGAGAAGAAAACTGAGAGGATTAAAGATATTTGTGATGTCGGATAGTCAGGCGGCCCTTAAGGCTTTACTATCATATGAAATCAGGTCGGGTGTCGTACTTGACTGTTTGACATCTCTAAATGAACTGGGTAAACATAATAAACTCACACTATGTTGGGTACCTGGTCATGAAGGACATTCTGGCAATGAAAGAGCAGACTGTCTGGCAAAAAGGGGCGCACGGCGACCATTTATTGGACCAGAATCATTCTTTGGTATCCCCAAAGGATACATTAGGGAAAAATGCGATTCGTATGTCGAATCTGAATTTCTCCGGAGTCAATATCAGGACTCAGACAGGCAAAAAGCTTCATAATGCTAATAAAAGGTAAATCCCAAAAGTTACTATCACTCAATAAGAGTGACCTAAGATTACTAACGGGACTTTATACCGGACACTGTGGACTTAGACACCACCAACACAATATTAGTAACAATGTGACGAGGCTATGCAGATTCTGCGAAATGCATGATGAAACCTCAGAACACGTACTTTGCGTACTTGGTGGGCCCCTAATCAATCAATTTAAAAATAGTAGATCGGCTTTATTGAATAAATTTAGTTAATTACTTATTTTTTATTAATTTTAAAATGTACTGTTATTTTTATAAATTTTCTAAAGTGTTAGATTGCATCTAATTTATGTATCAATTTATTTATATTCTCCAAAAATAATTTAAACATTTTTATATTTTTTTAATAAAAACCACATTAACCAAAGTTCATGTCTGTCGTGTATAGTAAAACAGAAAAAATTAATTTAAATATTGCATTCAAATTTAAAAAGAATATTTTCATAAACATACATCTATCTTAAAAAAAAAAATTAAAAAGAATTTCACAAGATGTTTGTTTATTCATCATTGTTATTTATTATTCTTTTGATAATACTTTCTTGAAATGTGTATCATTTATGGTGGAAAACAAATACATATAGATTTTTAAATAATAATATTTTGCAATAAATGTCTGCTAAGCAGACTTTAAAACAATATTTAAAAAAATCAAATAAGAAAAGAAAATAAAAGGCTGATAAGAAGAAATTTGTTGAATTGGAATCGAATAGAGTATTTACAAAATACCCCAACACCGTATGACAAAATCAGCTGAGCAACAATGTGTTGTAACATGTGTAAAAGCGAGTGAAAAAAATCAAAAGATATTTTTAAAGATTCTAAATAAAAAATAAACTAATTTCGTTTTTTTTGATATTAAAAACTCATTTTTGTATGCAGGTGTCACATGTGGACGAAGAAGAAAGTAAAGATATAAAAACAAAAATATAGAAAAATTATGTCTAAGAGAGTGTATCATTTAAAAAAAAGTAAACATTTAAATGAGAGACTAACAGAGCAAGAAAATAAGCACGCGAGAAAAGAGTAATTGTGTTAAAGAAAAAAAAGTACATGAAAAAAGGTGAATTACATCACTAAACGCACTTCACACATAAATGTTAGGTTAGGTAATTGCAAAAAAAAACAATACAATTGATTAAAATGATTACATTTAATATTAGTTAGTTCGTGCATACCTTAACTGAATCCATGGGATACATAACAATGTGCTCCAATACACCGGCTATAGCTCCGGCCGTCATATTTACACTCACACTTGTGGTGGGCAAAGATTCATAGTCGTCAATATTCATTTTGCTGCAAGTAGTTTTCTTTTTTTACTTTTGGAATTTATGGTTTTAACAGCTGATGCTTTATTTTTGGGGGTTTGTTGCAATTAAACACACGAAATTATTAGGAAGTTTATTGCTGCTTGGTGATTTATTTTTTTTAATAAATTTCTTTTAAATTATTTTGTTTATCGTTTATTAAAGTGTTTGCTGTTTAGTTGTTTAATTAAAAAAACCCTTTCTAGCTGGCAGCTCTCTCAGCTAGTTTATTTTTTTTTTTTTTGATAGGAGGTGTTTTTAATAGGCTGCCTAATGTCTTACTACTGAACAAGTTTTGCAAAATGCTAGTGTTTTGTTGCTCCAACTGCGCTTTCGCTTAGTGTTTCCCCCACTACTCGGTTGTGCTGATGATGGGGCTCTCTTTTTATAAGTAGATTTTTATTTTTACTGTTTCTGTTTAAAAACACTTTGCTCTTTTATTTATTTCTCTGCTGTTGGTGTTTTATAATTATTTTCTTATTATTGTTGCTGTAAATAAAAGCAATTTTTTATCTTTTTTCTTCGTTGTGTGGTTTTTCGTTTTCTTTTTCTTATATTTAATGATAACAACATGCAAAACGGCGTTGTTTAATTGCTGTCTTGTTTTTTCTTCTTCTTCTAGTTTCTTGAAAAGTGTTTGCAAATTTTGTTTACTTTTTCCTAAATTGTTGGCGTCTGATTTATGAAAATTGGTTCCTGTTTTGCAATTTAATTGCAGTTCCATTCAATATTCAAGTAACAAAGTTCAGTTGGTTTTAACTTTTATATTCTGTCTAAAACCTTTAGTATTTCCACTTAATTAGTGTTTGCCTTAAAATTCCAACTAATTAGCTTGAAAAGTATACTTAAACTAGTAATTATTATAGCACCATTTAAGTAGTTTTTAATTGAATATCTCCACACACTTATAGAGTTCTGTTTATTGTTGTTTTTCCTTCCCAAATGTTTAAAAAACTTAATGTGCAATCAATTTTGTATTTGTGCCTCACCAACCAGCAGCTTAGCAAGTTTTGTTTTTTGGATTTCTTGAATTTCAGTTAAATTTTTATGCACCTCACAAACTACAGCCACCGAAAAAAGCTTTTTTTACACGTTTCTCTCAAATATAAATTCCTTGTTTTCTTGCGTTTTAAAAACCAAAAGTCTAAGAACTTTAAGATTTTACTTTCAATTTAAAGTAATTAACACTTTTTCTATGCTCATAAAAGTTATTAAAACGAACACGCGTAGCTAAACAGAGACCTGCGCCGAGCATTTTAATCGGCGGCGGCGGCTGACATAAAATTTATCGGCGGCGGCTCAAATTCGGCTGCCAGCCGTCTGAAAATACACAACTTGATTGTGTTTATTTACGAAAAAATGTAAAAAGTATTTGCTACATTTTATCCGAGATTGTGTTTTAATTAATTAATCAAAATAGTTATTCCACGTTTTTTTCTTATTAAGATAATTGTGAATTATTCGGTTTTTGTCATTCAGAAGCCAACAGCTGAAATTTTCGACAAATATTCTCTATTTAGTATTAAAAATGGGCAATATTGGTTCAAGATTACACCTATTCCTATGAAACATTTATAAATATACATACATATGTATAGCTACATATGCATGTAGGAATAATTATTAAATTTTGTTCTGGTTAGTTTCGATTAAAAAAATTGAGACTACTCCGCACACGCGTGTAAAAGTACTCTTCAAAGGGCTGGTCCAAAACTAATCCAAATATATAGAAAAAACATATTCTATTTATATACATGCATATTCATTAAAAAAGAGTAATCCCAAAATCCCTTTCTAAAATTAAGGAAGTACATGGTCCGCAACATTGCCCTATATATTGCAGGCTATGGTCCATGTTGTTTTTTAAAAAATGAACATGATCCATACCTGTCGGACTTAGAGTGGGTCAAAGTTGGACATTTTGGTCATGCAGGGTTTTATTAATTTTTTCCACATTTTTTTTTTTTTAATTTTTTTTAAATATTTAAATTTTTTTAATAATTATTAAATTATTATATAATTATATAATTATTAAAAAAAATTATAATTTTTATTTTTTTTTTTTTTTGCAAAAAACTCTTTTTTTGCTCAAAATAAAGCTTATACAATTTCCTTTAAGGGCTTTATACTTAGCCCCATAATGGGATGCAATTTTTGCTAGGACCAATAGTTGAAAAGTTACATTCGTTTGACTAAAACCCTGTATGACCATAATGTCCAACTTTGATCCCCTCTAAGTCCGGCAGTTCTTGAACGATAGAGCTGAAAATTTGCAAATTTCATCCAAATCGATTTTTTGAGTAGGGTCACTTGACACGAAATTTCCCATATGTAAGTTCATCATTCAGTTTTTAATTTCAATACATACTTAATATATTTTTGTCCGTCTGTCTGTATGTTTGTAGAAATCACATTTTTTTGAAAACACAGATATTTGCGATTTTGTATAATTCTATCAGACAAATCGGTCTATAAATATGGGAGAAATGAGAAAAAATACGAAACAACAAATGAAAATAATGTCAAAAATAAGAATTTTTGTCGTGGAAGACAAACACAAGTTTTTGGATTGAAATAAAAAATAAATACAATTGTGAATGGCGGCTGCATTTAAGCCGACATCCAGCCGATAATTTTTCGGCGGCGGCTGTTTGCTAAAAATCATCGGCGGCTCAGCTCAGCCGGCTTAAGCCGACACGGCGCAGGTCTCTGTAGCTAAATTGAAATCTAAATTGTTACACAAAAAATATTTCAAGTATTCTCCTCTACTTCTATTCGTTTTCTACGAAGTTGAAAAAAAAAAACGTGAATGATTTTGCTTGAAATGAAATTTTTTGACAGTTGTCGGGGGAAAAAATGAGAAAGTCAAACTGCAATGTGAAGTAAACAAAGTGGTAAGAAAATAATAAAAGTCTGGCAAGCTTTTATTTACTGTGGTGAATTTGTCTGTTGTGTAGTTTTATTAAATTTTTTAATATTAATTATGTTAGAATTTAATTTATTAAAGGCAATTTTAACTATATTTATCAATTTATAGTAATTTTGCCAGATTTAACAGAAAACAACTTTATGATTCAAAATTATTACTAAATTTATTGCTAACATTGAAGTAACCCTGCAGGGGATGAAGCCTTAATTCTCTAAAAGTTATATTACTAGAACAATTACTAGCAATTTGTAGTGCCTATAAACGGGTTTAAAATTTTTAAGAAAAATACTTATACTAGAAGTAGTTCAAGGGCACATAAAACATTTTTTTTTAATTTCTAATATAAGGTTAATATTTCGAATAATTTTTTATTAATTCGAATGAAAATTGTTCAATTTTGAATAGAAATTTTCAATTTCGAAAAGAAATTTTGAATTTCGAATAAAAATTTTCAAATTTGAATAGAAAATTTTTAATATCTAATGAAATTTTTTTCCAATTTATATATAGTAGAAATTTTCAATGTATATAAAAATTTTTAATTTCGAATAGAAATTTTTCAATTTCGAAAGAAACAAATTTAAATAGAGAATTATTTTCTTCCAGTAGACATTTTCAATTTCGAAAAGAATTTCAATATGAACATTAATCAACATGAATAAATAGTTAGTTAGTCAGCTAGTTAGTTAGTTAGTTAATTAATTAGTTAGTTAGTTAGTTAGTTAGTTAGTAAGTTAGTTAGTTAGTTAGTTACTTAGTTAGTTAGTTAGTTAGTTAGTTAGTTAGTTAGTTAGTTAGTTAGTTACTTAGTTAGTTAGTTAGTTAGTTAGTTAGTTAGTTAATTAGTTAGTTAGTTAGTTAGTTAGTTAGTTAGTTAGTTAGTTAGTAGTTAGTTAGTTAGTTAGTTAGTAGTTAGTTAGTTAGTTAGTTAGTTAGTTAGTAGTTAGTTAGTTAGTTAGTTAGTTAGTTAGTTAGTTAGTTAGTTAGTTAGTTAGTTAGTTAGTTAGTTAGTTAGTTAGTTAGTTAGTTAGTTAGTTAGTTAGTTAGTTAGTTAGTAGTTAGTTAGTTAGTTAGTTAGTTAGTTAGTTAGTTAGTTAGTTAGTTAGTTAGTTAGTTAGTTAGTTAGTTAGTTAGTTAGTTAGTTAGTTAGTTAGTTAGTTAGTTAGTTAGTTAGTTAGTTAGTTAGTTAGTTAGTTAGTTAGTTAGTTAGTTAGTTAGTTAGTTAGTTAGTTAGTTAGTAGTTAGTTAGTTAGTTAGTTAGTTAGTTAGTTAGTTAGTAGTTAGTTAGTTAGTTAGTTAGTTAGTTAGTTAGTTAGTAGTTAGTTAGTTAGTTAGTTAGTTAGTTAGTTAGTTAGTTAGTTAGTTAGTTAGTTAGTTAGTTAGTTAGTTAGTTAGTTAGTTAGTTAGTTAGTTAGTTAGTTAGTTAGTTAGTTAGTTAGTTAGTTAGTTAGTTAGTTAGTTAGTTAGTTAGTAGTTAGTTAGTAGTTAGTTAGTTAGTTAGTTAGTTAGTTAGTTAGTTAGTTAGTTAGTTAGTTAGTTAGTTAGTTAGTTAGTTAGTTAGTTAGTTAGTTAGTTAGTTAGTTAGTTAGTTAGTTAGTAGTTAGTTAGTTAGTTAGTTAGTTAGTTAGTTAGTTAGTTAGTTAGTTAGTTAGTTAGTAGTTAGTTAGTTAGTTAGTTAGTTAGTTAGTAGTTAGTTAGTAGTTAGTTAGTTAGTTAGTTAGTTAGTTAAGAAATTCGTTTATCTGGAATCTAACAATTATTGCACGAAGAACTTTACCATCCATGTGAACAATTCTGGAGAAAAATAGGTTGACTTTCATTAGGGGTTTAGAACCTCTTACAAACACTTTTGGCATCCATGGGGGCTTAAAACGGTATATCTGACAACTATTACAGCTAGAATATTACAATTTTCGGCAGGTTACATAGGTGAAAAAATCGCGTAAGGCCCTCTGTGAATAATGAAACATTGCGTGGAATCACCTTGATCATATGGGGTGACTCTAAAGTTTAGAGTCTGTTTAGAGTCTAAACAGATCAGGACAAGAAGCCTTTTTAAAATGATGATAGGAGCATATACATAGGTGAAAGAATCGCGTAAGGCCCTCTGTCAATAATGAAACATTGCGTGGAATCACCTTGATCATATGGGGTGACTCTAAAGTTTAGAGTCTGTTTAGAGTCTAAACAGATCAGGACAAGAAGCCTTTTTAAAATGATGATAGGAGCACGGGCACAGCTATACAAAATTGCACACTCGGATTTGGGCTTTTGTATAAATTAGATTCTAATATCTTGAAAGTGATATTATTCCTGATATAACATCCCTCAAATATCTTGAGAGTGATATAATTCCTGGTATAACATCCATCTGGAACACCGATTGGGAAATTCATAGAAATTACGTCCAGAAAATATATTTAGTGAAGCAGCCCACAATAGGTCCTATAGTGGCCTAGGTGTATTTCATCCGATTTGATGTTGTATACATCTTCCTTTCAACCTAATCTAACATTTGGGAAAAATTGGTGAACTTGCATTGAAGTCAATACAAAAATTCGTATATCTAGGAAACTATTAGAGCTGGAATCTTAAAAAATCCTAAAATTTTTCTTTATATTGTATTAGGGTAGCAATGTAGACTGGGTATAGCTAGTAGAATATAAATTTCGAATAGAAATATTCAATTTCGAATAAACATTCTTAGGTTTTAAGTTTCGAATGAAGTTTCTTCAACTTTTAAATACTTTTAAAAGGAATGCTTCCCTGCAGGAAATGAAGCGATAATTGTCTTAATGCCACTAGTACTAATACTAGAACAACAGACACTAGTACAAATTGGGTTAGAGTTTATATGGAAAAATACTAGTACTAGAAGTAGTTGAATGGCGCCACTTGTAGATTGATTTTTGTTTGACATGTGTTGGAAAAAATAATTTTTTTAAATTATTAAAATATAATTTTGAAACATTTTGCATAAAAAACGATATTTTCATACATATCCCTTCAAATGTGAGGATAAATAGTGCATGCAAATTTAGGTCCGGTTGCAGGCAAATCCCTATGTAAGTACGTCTATTAAATTTAAAAACTGCAGTAAGTTTAATATTTGTTTTATCGTACGGCAAATGTTTTTATAACGAAATGGAGATATATACCTGAAGGGAATTTTTGGACATAATGAAATCAATGATGGTGATACGGATAGAACCAGAATTTCTTCAAACTTTCATATTGAATTGTTAGGTAAATGTATTTACAACATTTGTTATTGTATCTTTAGAAATAAAACCTTATAAAAAACAAGTTGTGTAGTAATTTTCACTTGGAATTGTGCAGGAGGCTTTCAAAAGAGCAAAACCACCAATTATGGCGACTTTTTATGAATATTAGAACTAGTATCAAACTGGTTCTAAAGAACCCAATTGGGTCGAAGTGTACTAGTATAAGTCTAGAACTAATGGTACTAGTAATTTTTCAAACACACTCAATGTTAATTTGAGCATTATGATGGTATAGGAAAGTTTACAGTTGGGAACTAGTACTGGTGATTTTGGTACTAGTTAAATACTAGTTTGGTACTAGTTCCATTTCCTGCAGGGTTTGTATGCAAATTAATAATGTTATACTTTGTTAATAATTCTTTTATTTATTACAAATACACATTTAAACATTTAATTTAACAAAATGTTTTGTTTTTCATTTTTAAATTTATTTTTATTCTTAAAACAAAACTAAATTAAGACATGTTAAGAAAGAAACTAAATAACAAAAACTACTTGTCTTAAATGTGATGATCAACTTACAATAAATACATACATATTTAAACATTTATTAATTATTTTATTATTTATGTATAATTTCTCTGAGGTATTTTAATGTTTCTTAATAGCTTGGAATAGAGTATGACCTGTCTGACTGTTTGTCTTATTATGGAACTTAGGAAAAGAACACAAATAAATGCAACAAATTGGAAAAAACATTATTTACGCTAAAATGTTTCAGTGAGAGAGTATTTCACACAAAATAACTACTCTTATCTAAAATTGTTTAATAACTTAATTAACAGTGTTGTTGTAAACATTACTATTACTATTTATATTTTTCTTTTAATGAAATTATTGTCAAAACACATTTATAGTTGTTGTGTGTATAAATTTAACTTAAAGTTTAACGTTTTTTCTTCTTTCTCCTTTTTTATAATTTGTTAGATGGCTAAGCTCTTATTTGCATTAGTCCTGCTGGCTGGCATAAAGTTCAGAGGATGTGTGTGTTTATCTATGGGACAATTTACAAGCCCTTGTTGAACCAAACTTGTGTCAATTCCGAGTTCTTCTTCTTAATAGATTCTTGGACTTCGGGTTCTAAGCTCTTAACCTGTAAAGGGGAAAAGTAAAATTGTGATTAGAAGCTAAACTCAAATACAAATTTTTTTAATTTCAAATAGAAAAATTGCATTTCCAACGGATGGATATGTTGAATTTTAAATAGAGATTTTGAATTTTGGATATAAATTTGTTTAATTTCAAATAAAAATCTCAATTTGAAATAGAAATTTTTAATTTCGAACAGAAGTTTCCATTTTCGAATATAAGTTTCAATTCTGATTAAATTTTTCTTTATTCAAATAGAAAATTTAAATTTCAAATAGAAATATTCCAATTCGAATAAAAAATTTCAATCACAATCAACATTTTTTTAATTTTGAATAGCAATTCTCAATCTGGAATAGAAGTTTTTATTTACGTATATTTGTTTTCAATTCCGATTTCGAATTAAAAATTTCAATTATCAATTTAATAGATTCAATTTCGAATAAAGATTTTTGAATTACAATACAAAATTTCAGATTCGAGTAAACATTTTTTAATTTTAATTAAAAATTTGAGTAGAAATTTTCAATTTCGAATAGAATTATTCAAATTCGTATAGAAACTTCCAATAATAGTTTTAATTTTCATAAGAAATTTTCACTTTTAAATTCTCTATTTCTAGTTGAAAATTTCAATTTTGAAAGGAATATTTCTATTTTAAATACAATTTTACAATTTCTTGCTTTCGATTTTTGAATAGAAATTTTCAACTTCAAATATAAGTTTTTAGTTTCTAATAGAAACCTCAAATTAAAACTTCGAATTTTCAATTTCATAGACAAATTTCCAAATTTTAATAAATTTTTAATTTTGAAAAGTGTTTCAATTTCGAAAATATTTATTTTCAAAATCTGAAATAAGGCTAAAATTTCGAATACAATTTTTTAAGTTTCGAAAAGAAATTTTTCAATTTCAAAAAATATTTTTGAATGGAAATTTTATAAAATCTTCTTTCGAATAAAATTTTCAAGTGGAAATTCATAATATCAAATAAAAATTTCAATTTTTAAAAAATAAACTTTTAATTTCGAAAAAAATTTATATCCAATAAAACTTTTTCAATTTCAAATACAAATTTTCCATTTCGAACACAAATTTTCCATTTTGAATGATAATTTTCCATTTCGAATCAATTTTGATAAAAAATTTATATTAAAAAAATCTTTAATTTCGAATATAATTTTTAAATTTCAAACAAAAATTTCAAATTTTGAATAGAAAATTTCATATAAAAAATTTACAATTTCGAAAAGAAATTTTCAATTTCGAAAAGAAATTTTGAATTTTGAAAAGAAATTTTCAATTTCGAATAAAAATTTCCAATTTTGAATAGAAATTTTCAATTTCGAACAAAAATTGTTTAGTTTTGAAAACAATCGTCAATTTCGAATAGAAATTTTTCAATTTCAACAGAAAATTTATCAATTTTGAATAAAAATGTTAAAATTTGAATAGAAATTTTTAGTTTCGAAACAAAATTTTAATTTCAAAAAGAAATTTTTAATTTCGAATACTAATTTTTCAATTTCGAATAGAAATTTATCAACTTCCAATATAGAAATTCAATTTCAAAAAGAAATTATTAATTTCGAAAAGAAAATTTACAATTTCAAAAAAAATTCTCAATTTCGAATGGAAATTTAAAATTTCGAATAAAAATTCTCAATTTGGAATATTTAATTTCAAATACTTACATCTATGGCAGCTCTTTGACTAAAGAATGCACAGCCCAAGGGGGTGGCAAAGATTAAAACAAAACCACAGAACAGGGTTTGGATGGGAGCACTAGCCTTGGGGAAACGTTTCAAGAAACCACCCTTTTCCAATTTGTTAATCAAAAGAGGAGTTAAAACTGTAAATAAGAAATTGAAAATTTAGTTTACAAAATTATTCTAATATGTAGGTTTGCAAAATCATTCTTACCCATGCCGGGAGTGGCCATAGCTATTCTACTGGCTACTACAGCGGTAATACCGACGGCGGCGGCCTTCTTGGAGATGCCCATTTCATTGTTTTGTTCATCCAAAAGGGTAACACCGTTCTTCAATTCTCTGTAAGTTAAAACAAAATGTTAGTTTAGTTTTTAAACGTTATTTTGCAATATTTAAATAATAAACATGAACTTACTGCATACGCATCATGGGTACATTGATGCAATTAGCAGCGGCCACGGCGGCCAAAGGTACCAAACGACCGATCAAGGGGTTTAAGTTCTGAAAAACACAAAGAATAAATATTTTTTATTTAACTACTATCTCAAGGTCATAGATATAGCAATTTTCAAGAAAACTTCTGATTTTATCAATTGAAGGCCCTCAAATCTTAATTCAAAACTCACCTTAACTATTCTGTTCAATGATAAAGCAGTGGTTAAGGCACCACCAGTAGCCAAAACATATGAAGTCAACAATTGTCTAAAAAAATAGTAAAAAGACACACGAAATTTCGTTATAATTAAATTAAATCAATTTAAATTTTATTCTATTAAACTAAACACTCTCTCAATTATCGGTTAATGAATGAATAAATAAATAAAAACTTACTCTTTAGAGAGGGGTGTAGAACCGGAACGATTTGTATAATTGACCACGGCATTAAATGTTTGATTTACCCACTGCCAGAATATAACAGCCGGTGTAGTTTTGTAGAATGAAAGCATGCCTTCGTTTTAAATACGCAAAAGAAAAGAAACAAAAAACGTAAAACAATTATTACAAGTAATTTACATTAAAAAAATTAGTGATGCAATCAATGCAGTGTGAAAAATGAAAGTTTTGCGAATAATATTTACATTTGTCAATTTATGTAAGTGTAGCCGAACACGTGTATTTTGTTCGTACAATGAACTTGACATTGATAATTCATAATAATAATAACTAAAAAAATATAATTTCTAACTTTTTCTACTTACATCCAGTAATTAAAGTATTCATGGGCACCTGGGCGGACATACGACCAATGATCAATGATTTCTCGCCGGTCTCGGGATGGAAAGCAGAATCATACAAATACTTGGCACGCCACAATTCATCGACATTCTTAACATCGGGTACTGGTCTGCCGGCACGATAATCATTAACAATTCTCTTTGCCTTTTCCAAATCCGAATTTGTGGCCAATAAATTTAAAGGATTGGTCAAGAGAAAGAAATGTTTGGCACGATTCAAATAAGTGCTTTGATCATATTTAGGCTGATCGATATCAACTTTGGGCAATGTTGTCATGTTGTTAAAGTTTTATTTGTTGTTGTTGTTATTATACTGGATTGCACTTAACCTTGAAAAGAAATAAAAAATTGAAAAAAAATTATCAAACAGCTTATCAATTTAATGAAAACAATTAAATTATATGTCTACAGTTAATGACAATTATTAACGCTTGGTTTTTGGTTTAAATTTATGAGTTTTGTATTGACAAGAAAAAAAATGCTAAAAATAAACTAAAATTTAATTATGCGCCATTTTACTTGTTGTCTCTATAGGGGGTCTACAGATTTATTAAGGGATCTAAGAGTTTATCTCTTGTTTCGTGAGCAGCTAAAGTTCATTTTGAATTATTTTTTGCTCTGTAGCCTTGTCTGTAATCAGTGTTTCTTTTATTTTTCAGAAACGTTATCAGTTCAAGCATATTTTTAAAATGTTTCCCTCATTAAAGTTGTTTAGTTTAATAAAATATTTGTAATCTCAATAACGCTTGTCTTTACCGAGCAAATAAGTTTGAGTTATTGTAAACAAAAATATCGTCTGTGTATTAAATCTTTGAAATTTTAATAATATTTCAACTTAGGACTTTAACCTTTTTCCTTTGGTATCTGTTTGAGATTTGTCTAGACTTTGAGAGATTTAAATTAAACACATAATGGAATCCTATGATCAGTATTAAAATCAATTAATTTATTTTGCGATGCAAGAAATATAATTGTTCATTTTAACGTGAAAATTCACACTTATTTTTAAACGTTTTAAATTCTCGTTATATGAGATATTTATAGACAGTTATATGTATGTATCAGCTATATATTTCAATATACCCACATGACCAACATTATATCATACCGTAAACTGTTTACGACAAAACACTCGATATTAACCATCATTTTTGACAGTACAGGCACTTAACTGTCCATCATTTAGTGACAATCTTATTACGAAATTATCGAAAATAGATCCCAATTGCATACTTCCTATCTCAAACTCTCAATCGTTTCGCGATAGCATTGTCCAATATCTATTAATTTATTGATAAAAAGTAGAACAGTTTTAATATTAAATACTTTCACTTCGTGAAAATATAGAGAATTTTTCACTAACTATCCCGAACTACTGCACATTTTTTAAAAATCCGCTTTCGAGCATTACTGTTTTAAACAGTATGGATTGGTGGATTTCAGTTTTTTGGTTTGTTGGGTTTATTTTCTCAAGTCGTAATATTTGCAAACACATTAAATTATTTGTTTATTTATAATATTATTTTATTTTTGCGGTAAACAATTCATATTTAATATGTCGTCATCGAAAATGTGTCAATTCAAATTTTATTGCTGAATATTGAGATTTTATTATGAAGCGAATGCGACGCCACATGATTGCAATGAGATATGTATATTGTTGTTTAAATGTAATTGATTTAATAGTGTGAATAGATATAATTAATATTATTTTAATAGTAAACATGTTTTGCTCCACAATCTGGAGTAAAAGAAAATGTATGGTTTCAAAAAGCAAGAGCAAATGAATAAAACAGCTCAAATGTCACTTGTTTAAGTTGGTCTAGGAAATTCGATATAAGTGGATCTCCATTCTGAAACGATCGGAGATCTAATCTAATGAAAGTGTTTTCTTCAATTTTGAAAGTTCATTTACTTAAGACAAACGATATAAACTTATTCTTGTTGATTAATATCGAGGAATTCTTTAGATGTTATTTCCTACATCAGCATTAAATCCGAAGAAATTAACTTAATCCACTATCGGGCGCTCCTTTTAATGGAAATGTTTGTTGGTAAAAACGAAAACCTTATATAGTGATATATTAAAGTGTTTCGATGTTTGGAAACTCGGTTCAATATAGAACCTAAGGCCCGTTTTATTCTCCAATTTGGAGTCATTCGTTACCGACGGATCCCTTCTCGTATTTGCTCTAATTCTCCGCTGATATTCTATCTGTGATTAGTGTTCTAAAGTTCCCGACATATTCTGTATCTGTTATCCGGTAGGACACATCCCATGGGTGCAGTATACATTGAATTCGTGTCCTATAACCCCCTTTATTCAGTTCACCTAAAGATAAGAGCCGTTCGGCTGTAAATACCACCTCATATTTTATATATGTTTATGAAGAATATCTAGCAATGTTTCTACAGCCTTGGCTGACGTATTGTTCTTGCCCCACTTATACCCAAGCAGCATGTACGCTGAACTCTCTGCACTAGTATGATATTACTCTTTTTGTCGAAAGTCTAATTATGTCTAACGTTCTCTTACATAGCGCCCAGCACCGATGTGCCTAGTTGATCCTATCCTCTATGTGTTTTATTTCCGGCCAAAGATTACACCTACGCTCAAAAAAACGAATCAAGCCATACGGGTTTGAATTAATCCATATCTATTAAATCAATATCGAATAAGCCAAGCACGAAAGTGTTGATTTTGGGATCAAAATGATCTCAGAACGAAGTTGATTTAAGAAATCATTCTCTTGATTTAATCTTGAATCCATACTTGATTTAAGTATATCCGATGTTGAAATAATCCAAATTCGTACTTGATTTCATCTTAAGGTGATTCAAGCTTGATTCAAGCCTAAGCTCGTATTTGATTTAAGTCTTTTTTAAGCTCAATATTAATCCCAAAATAAGTACTAAATCTGGCGTAACATACTTGAAAATCTAATTTGAGTTAGACAACTGAAAACGATCTTTGGTACATGCTTAGATTCCGGAGTTATAAACTTTAATAATTTGATTGATTACTACTAGTTCTGAGTGCCGTTTCCTGTATTTAGTTTCCTAATGAGCCACAAAGAATCATTCTAAAACAGGTCTAATCTGTTTTAGTCCAGTCCAAAAATAGTAAATTCTTTTTGTTGGGCTAATAATAATTATAAATATCCAAAGATCCGAAGAGTACCAGATCTCAAACTATTGTTTGTTTGTTATACTTAAAAAGTGTTTATAATTATGGTTCTTAATTTAGATTCTTAACTAGGCCTCTATCCTGTTATTCCGAATTTCAATTTAAGATTTAATAATACAATTGGAAAATAGTAAATAAGTTAATCGTTTTATCACAATCTGATAGGATAGGTCGGTAATTGTTACAAGTCCACATACATATGATCACTATCTGTTTAGGACACATCTATTGATAGATTTCGTTTAAAATTTATGGTTCAGAGGGTAAAATTTTTGAAAAATAAGGTTATTTTGAATGATTTAAATACACCCTTTATACATATAAAGGGTTAAGCATAAGTAACAGCAACAATTTCGGTAAAAGTTCATTGATTTTTTTTTTGGGCTTTCGTTATTTATTTCCCAGTTTTGTTTTTGTACTTTGGATTAAAACACACAAAAAAAAACGAAGATTTTGTTTATATTTCCGCAAAAAAATGTATACTAATAGAAATTTAGTGGTGGTTTGCCATTTCCAAAAGTATTAAAATCCAATGTCAGGCATAGCAATGGACAGAAGACACACACAGCACGAGCAGTAATAACGATTTTTCCCAAAACAATTTTTTATGTTGTTGAACACAACAAGAGAAGAATTTTGTTCTGATACAACACAGGCCGTTTATTTAATTTTCAAGACCAATGTCAAATAAATGGTTTTTATATGGGAAAGCAACAACTATAATATACGCAGCAACAACAACAACAACAATAAAAAAACTACAAGTAGTAAATATTTTAATGATTATAAGCAGTAAATACTGATTTTCGTATTTTACTAATAGTATTATGTATTTTATTAAACTCTGTATTAATAGTTGTTGTAGTAACAGTAATTGTTATTGTTGTTATTATTTTCTTTCAATTTATAGAAGATTTCAATTGAAAATTATATGGGAGGCAGGCGATTAGCAGGGCCACAGTGTCAATCATCATTTCTTTCTTATCGCTTTTATATTTTTTTAATGTTCAAAAAATATCACTTGTTACATAATTTAAAGCGAAAAATATGTATTATTTAACATGTTTTTTTGTTAAAGAATGTAAATTTTAAACATTTGCAAAATCGTTTTGCTTAATTATTACTCATTTCTTATAAAGTTTGTAATATTAACGCACTATAGTTATAAAAACGTTTCAAAAAAATTTAACTACAAAAACCAGCTGTCTAATCATTTAGTTACTCGGGAATCCTACAGTCAGCGTATGGAATTCATTAACATTGGAAATAATACACACACTTTCATATTTATTTTTTCTTTTTCAAACATAAAAAATTCACAAGTTTCTTTTTTTTCTCAAACGCTTAGAATTTTTACCTTTTTATTATTTTTGCACGCGCCGTTAGATTTCACGTACTTTTCAGTATTTTTTTTTGCTATTGAGTTTCGACCGGTTTGGCAGTAGAGTGAAAACTGATTTTAGTTTGTCGTTAGCAGCAGTTAATTTGCTGCTCCATCCACTCTTAACAGAAAGCTAAACTAAACAATACAAATACAATGTTATGCTGGCAAATGTTTGATGTTTTTGTTGTTGGTTGCTCTTGTTGTCGTCGTGTTGTTTTTGTGTGGAAAAAGCTTAAAATCGATGGAGTGTAATTGTTGTTGCCCGCTTTTCAAACACTTTCTCACAAGAAAATGTTACTATATAGGACCAGAGTAGCCAGATGAGGGGATAATTTGTTAACCTAAAGGGTTAGATTGCATTCAATGAATTTAACGGTATTTTTGAAAGTTGATTCCCACAGATCATTAACTTCCGACTGCTATTTGGACTCTCAGACGATATACATATGTACATTACCTGATAAAAATGCGATAGGGACCCAATGGAAGGAGCTAGAGGGGACATTTTTTTCGAAGTATTAGTCTTATAATTTACCACAATTTCTAACATTAGGCAGCTAGAAATTATAATGTACAATATAATAAATTGTTTCAATTTTGGCCCTACATCTTATAAAAGACCCGCCTTCAGAAAATGACATTGACACTCATAATTGAGAAGTATTAATCAACCTGATTATCCTCATTTGATAAATTCTGTAAGGGCTGCTTTATTGTAGGACCTTAATGTCATATTAGATCTAGTTCCGAAATTCACCGTAAGTCACTCTATCCACAACTTTCTGAAGCCATATGTTGACATAGAAACCAGTACTTTAATACACTTAAAGTACTTTCTCTGAGGAAAATCGTAACGTAACATGTTTTTTCAATTTTGATCTATGGGCGTAACTGGCTCAGCTACTGAGTCGTTTAACTCTCATCAGATCTCAAATAAGCTATAGCTTATTTAGAGGCGAATTCACTTGTTCATATCATCCATTGAAAATACATATTGATCTTAAAGTTTGCGATGTCATTATATAAGAAATACAACATCGGTCAAATGTCTGCCGTGGAAGTGCTGGGACTAGTGAATGCACTAGGCTTATTTTTTCTAGACTCGAGCTTACAAATCGGTCGAATTATCACTAATTTCGCATTTAATATAAGCTTGCCGTTAAAAGGGATTAAACGCATGAACTAGTCCATGGCAAGTCCATAGACCACTCTTTTACGTGAGATTATTTGCGACAATTTTGATTGTTGACAAATCCATAGAGCCAGAAGTACCAAAACTTCTTCAAAATTTACATAAACATACTCGCTATAAAAGGTGAAATTTGATAAACTTCACTCCTACTCGATATATGATTTGCGTAGAATTTGAAACAATCAATTTACAGCGAATTACTTACCTTAAACTTTTGCGTCCATATCTCTTCAGTTTTTATTTCAAATCCCGAATATGTAAGATATTTATTTATGCAAATTATCGAAATATTTTTGCAAAAATAATTTGTTTATATTTTTACATAATTTTTGACAATTTGTTTCATGGATGCCAAACGACTAGGTTTATTTAAGTAAAGTAAGAATACAATTAGAGTGAACTAATTTTAGAAAACCAGGTTTCGAATAATGCGAAAGGTTTGATATTATAAATAACTCGTTTCGGTTTGGTTGCTACAAATTTGTAAGTAACACAGGCCAACCGTTAGCCGTTTCTAAAGGATTAAACAGCGCTCGACATCACATCTGGAATTTGAGATATCGTGTCCTGAAATTTGAGAAATCTCCATATTTTGCTTTTTTTTTTGAGACGTCATAACAGCGCCAAGGGTTATTTGGGAGATTTTATTTCCTGTTTTAAGCAACTTAATTTATTAATAATCTGGCAACTTGACCATCAAGAATTTGTTGGTCATTAATAATTCTGAATAGAATATAAGAACAACGAAATATAATAAATCGGTGGTTGTTTTTTATTTTATTTATTATTATACTCATTTTCTTGTTTCTTATCAATAAAACAACTTGAGTATTTTATATACATATTTCAAAGGGCGAGAGTTTTTGGGAGTAAAATTTTAAATACTGAGCGAATTGAGTGTAGTGAATATTTATGGAAAATTTTCTTAGTTTAAGAAATAAACAAAAATGTTAAAGAAAGAATGATATCAATTGTTTGCGAATGAAGTTTACTGATGTTGATGATGAATATGTGTTTTAATACACTGTAAGAAATTTGTATATTAAAGGAAAGTAATAGTAATTTCAAAATGTTTAATAGTTCAAAAAATTTTTTCGAATTGCAGAAAGTAGTACTTACCTCATTTCCATTTCAATTTTAAAAGCCAAAGTCCTAACAATTTAGAATCGTTTTATTATATGGATGCAAAACCTAGATACCTATCTCTAGTTGATATCCAAAAATATCGCAGTACCCATGAGCATTTTAATTATTTTATTCTGTTATAAAGGTTTATTAAGTAGTGCATTAACTTGTCAATAGCTAGTCCATAGACTTGTCAATAAACTATCCCATAGACTTGTGAATAGACTATTTCATAGACTTGTCAATAGACTATTCCATAGTCCATATGTCAGTCCACAGATTTGGCAATTAACCAGACAATCAGCCCATAGTCTAATCTATGGACTAATCAAGTGATTAGACAGTATATGGTCAATGCACTAGTACACAAACTAATGAAAATACAATAAATATACTGGTGCAAAGAATAGACAATTTAGTCCTTAGACTAGCCAAAAGACTACTCCATTGTCTAGTCCAGCGGTTCCCACAGATTTTTACTTCGCGGACCCCTTGAAGAACTTATTTAATTTCGCGGACCCCCATACATATTTTGATATCTTATTGTTCTAGATAATTGTCCATCCGAAAATTGATCTAGTTCATTAATCCCTAGGTCTAATAAATGTAGAGATGTCATATCTATAAAATATTCCCGTACATTGAGAATATATAATATTTCAGATAGGGTTTCAATTGCATGTTTTGAAGATAGAGTTGAAATCTGTGTATCACGTCGGATTGAAATATTTATAAAGAGATGCATAAAGAGTCACCTCTGTTTTGGAAATATATAATTTTAGTCCTTTCAAACGAGAACACTTTTGCTTACAATTTGATAAAATTAAATCTGTAGTACTTTACTTTATAAAAGTTATACAATAAATTTGTAGGGCCTAGCTTCTTCCTGATAAACAACCGAAAAAATAAAATTCAAAAAGTCACCAAAAAATTTGGGATTATTGCACAAAAATTGGAGATATTTGTACATACATATAAAAGCAGAATATTGTTTATTCATGGTTTTTTTTGTTCGTCTTCGCGGACCCCCTAGGATTTTACTACGGACCACTAGGGGTCCGCGGACCCCCATTTGGGAACCGTTGGTCTAGTCCATGGACTAAGCAATAAAATGGTCCATATACATATAAGTCAATAATGTATTAGACTAGTCAATAAACCAGCCCACAGAATAATTCATAGTCCATAGGCTACTGCAAAGGCTAGTCCATAAAATAGTGATAGACCCAATAGGATAGTCCATAGAATGATCAATTAACTAATCCAAAGACTAATCAAGAGTGTAGAGAGTTGACTAGTCCATATAATTGTATGTATTAATCCATAGACTAGTCCATAGTTTATACAATTGGTTAGTCCATCGACTAGTCCATAAAATGACCCAGGGGCTATATGAGTCCGTAGGCTAGTCCATAGACTAGTCCATATATGAGTCCGTAGGCTGGTTGGTTAACGTGGTAGTCTTGTCAATATTGTAAACTAGTCAATAGTTTTGTACATATTCTAATCTTAGTCCATAAACTAGCCAATAGACTAGCCCATAGTCTAGTCAATATGTTAGTCCGTAGTCTAGTTAATAGAACAGTAAATAGACTAGTCCATATATGTATAAGTCCGTAGGCTGGTTGGTTAACGTGGTAATTCACTGCCCACGAACAGTCAAGTAGAGTCGAAGAGACTTCGTTTTGAACAGTAGGGCAGTCGATAGAATATACAATATACAAGTTCATAGACAAGTCTATAGACTAGACCACAGACTATTCAATAGGCTTAACCATAGACTAGTCAATATATTAGTGCACAGTCAATAAAGCAGTGCATAGTAGGCAATAGAATAGTGTATATATATTAGTCAAAAGAATATTCCATGGAATAGTCAATTGGCCAGTCCATAGAATAACTAGTATGGACTAATCCATAGGCTAGTCCATAAACTAGTCAATAGACTAGACTATATTCTAATCCATAGACTTTTCCAAGGACTATACTAGACTATAGACCTAGTTCATTGATTATACTTTTTGTAGAACAGGTTCAAAATTATTTGCAATATATCTGAAAAATAAAACCATTTTTTCATTTCTATATGTTGACAAATGCAGTCTGCAAATGATTGAATATTTTTTCTGAATTGTTTTCTTGTAATTTATTTTATTATTATGTTTATTTATTAATTTATTTATTTCTTTATTTATTACTGCTGTTATTATTGTTATTATTCTTTTATTATTGTTGTCATTAATTTATAATAATAAATTATCATATTATGTTGTATATGTGTTTGTATTTGTGTATATAGTGTAATTTATTTATTGTTTAATTGTTTTATTAATAAACTAACATAACATCAACAGTAAACATTGTACAGTATTATTTATTTTTTTATTTATCTTTTTCTTTTTATTTTTATATTTTGCATTCTTCATTATTTTATATTATTTGGATTTTGAGTATAATTTTATTAATTTTTATTTATACATAAATTTTCATTTAAATTTGTTTATAGTATTTTATTTTGTGTTTTAATAAATATGTAGAATGTTTTGTAGGGTTTTTGTTTGGTTATGTAAATACATTTATGTAGTAAGTATATAATGTTTAATTTGTTGGTTTTGTATATAGTAGTGTTTATTACAAACTTAAATAAATTATTTAAATCTTAGTTTTTATGGTTTTGTTATTTTAAGTTCAGGATTAATTATCAGGTAAAAGTAACAATTATTTTGTTTTTTATTAAAACTAAAAAATTATTTTTTATATTTTTAAATATTTTTTCAACTATAAATATGTATGTACTTAAGGGAATTTTGATGAATATGTATGTATGTACG